AATACATCTCAGTCCTACAGGAGCTCAGTCTCAGACTGCATAGCTCAATGGTGATGTCTGTGACTGACGAGCTGGATGATACGGGATCGAACCTGTCAGCGAGCATCATTTCCCTCAAGATTACAGGTACACCTTACTTGCGAGTGCCCGATAGCACGAAACCTAGGTCCAGGGTTCTCTCTTGATTACTTCAAACCACCATCTTAATATCATCAGTATTTATTCATGACTGTTAGGTTTTAAGTTTAAGTGTATCAAATCTTTCACAATAAGTGTATTGTATCTCAGATGGAATTGTAAATAAACACTACCGAGAGATCTAAAAATAGATTTTGCAACCCTTTTTTGACTGTCACTTTGTGCTGAAACGTTACTTTCATAAAATATCAAACACGTTTATAAGATGTTATTTTTATTTGAAAATAATTCATAAATATGGGACTCTTTCTTTGGAAGAAAAACGGCTATCCAGTGCTTCATGTTTTTCATTGGTTATCTAATATCGATCCGCTGTGTAATGTGTAGAATTCAACAAGGTCCTCAAATCTGTGTACTAATTATATTCTCTATGTTTGGTTAATTTACTAACGTTGGCACAGCAATTATTTCTGATTCTTTGACCTTAATCTTAATTATCTTTTCTTAATATGATGATATGTTATGTGGTATCTTGCATTAACACATATTTTTAAAAGTTCTCACATACTTAACACACATGATAATAAATACCATACAGAAAAGCATATATTTATACATATTAGATGTTTTGTTCATTCTAAATCTAATCAATTTAGTTGAGATTACACTTCTAAAGTTGAGAAAGTTCGTAAGTTGAGTTAACATTTACGGAGATAGATAATCGACTGGAATCTCAATGTGCACATCACCGCTGCAGTGCAGGTGCTTTCAACTGATGAGTCCTAAACACAATGGATTTTATTTATTTTGAACTACTGACGAAACAGTGGCAACATTAAGAATCCTGGAGAGAGTTGAACTTCATTAAGATCACGTACCAATCTAAGTTATACAATCGTTAAAAACCTGAGAGCACTGTCATGGGTCTCTTGAGTAGGGTGTGTTCACTACGCTGAAATAAGAATTCAAACCAAAGACCTTCGATCTCACGCACAAATGCCTAAACACTAGATCACTGAACTGGGTCCAAGCACTGTAACTTCAATCAATCAAGAGTAGATAGCTTCCTCACAACAATGTGTTTGAATTTCATTAGTCATATTTTCTCAATAGAACTCAGGAAATTCGTTCTCGAAGCTAGTCACTAATTAGCACCAAATAACTTTCAACATCAACATCATCACCATTGAATTCTTACTCAGTAATCTGAAGTTTATTTATTTTCAGGGGAAAAAGAAGAAAAATACTAGATTTGATTCTGTGATTCATTGTTATAGATGTATACTTCATGGAAGTCTCAAACTAAGACAAACCAACTATCCGATAATTCTTAGTATCTAAACATGATCTAAGTTAGATCAGTCCATGATCGTGTGTGTTTAAAGAAAAAAAATAAACAAAAACAAACAAAAACAAAAAAAATTATTCTTTATGTACTTTTCAATTAAATGGAAACTGAATACTCCTGTAATGAGTTATTTTTCTATTTTTTTTATAATAAGAATAGTATCATATTAGTGTGTTTATAAAAAAAATCCGTTTTATGTTTTTTTTTTAATTTTTCAAGTTTTTGCGTTAGTTACTAAAGAAAAAAGAAAAAAAAAGAAAAAAAGTACAAAACTGTATTGTAATTTTTAAAAGTTTCTCATTTAAATTTATAAAATATAATTTAATATTAGAAAGGGGTTTTGTAGAGATTTCAGTCATTTCAATAGTTGTAATCTCTACAAAACCTCTTCTAATCATAGTCATCTGTTCACTGGTGACTAACTTCAACAAGTATGTCTTGATGTTCTAGTGAGAAGCTGTGATCAGTGGAGTTCAACCAGGTCTATTGTGAGATATCAGTTCACCATGGACAATTGTGTACGGTGGCACAATTTCGTGGATCGGTAAAAGTAAGACATTAACAGCATTGGATGCTGACTCAATGGTGTGATGGTCGGTATTCCATATATTCCTTAAACTTCGTATACAGTTCGTTTTGATAATCGTCACTAGATAACGCCACAACGGTATATTAATCAGAAAGCGAATACCAAGTGTTGATTATGTTTATTATGGGACAACACACAGATATCCGAAATTTCAGGTGCGTCAAACAAGCATGAAAGTGTTGTGCCGAAAGGGAAGTAGGCAGGCGAACAAGCGAGTGAGTGAGTCAGCGAATATGAGTACGAGTAAGCGAGTACAATTAAGCGAGAGAGAGCCATGAACGTGAGTAACATGGACGTATATATACATAGTGAAATGAATGAATCATCGAATCATTTAAGCGGTTAGAAGTAAGGCTAGCTGCGTAGGCAGTAAGCGATGCTCAAGCATACATGTCCATACATTCACAATATTAATAAAGATATAATGATATAGATAAGTTAACATTTTTTCAACCATAAGTGTTAAACGACGCTTCTATTGATTGTTGGATGTCCACATGGAAACATAGCATCGTACTCATATCTGAATAAACACCATGATCGTATACAATACACTACTTGTTTGCAATAAGAAAATGTTCTTCCGAGTAAATAGATTCACAATGTAAAATATGATAATATTGAAAACAATCTGTGAAGTCTATCAATTACTTACTTTAACCTTGCAACCATTTACTTTGAATTCATGAGTATCCTCATCATTACTGGTAATGCACATACTGGCTGTTTCACACCAAAAGCATTTTGTATCTGATGTTTTTAAGCCATGACATTCTTCAAAGGAATTGTATTTCGGACAATCTTCAGTGGAAAAAATAGGGTGATTGCATAACAAGTTATCAAACAAAAGATAAGTGAATTAGGAAAAATATAACTATGACTCGATGATATAATGATGATTTCGAAATTAGGCGACTGTTTCATTCACTAGGAATTTGTCATCACATCGAGCAATGCAAAATTCAGCACACTTTCATTGACATCCATATTTCACGACAACATTTTGGCTTTGAATGAAAATACATCCATAATGAGTAACATTTTATTCAACGAATATTAAAGTCGATCAAAGCATAACATTATGGAATGATTCTCTTAGTTGTCGAGATGGTATATTAATACGCTACCACATGATAAACTGAAAATTCTTTGTGATCACTCAATGTACATATTCATGAGAAAGAGAACACGTTCAAACCATGTCATTCTTTTTTAACGACAACACCTCGAAACTGAATGAAACAGAGTTGAATGTTCAACGATGAGTATTGACGTGCGAATTTGGTAGAATATTTCAAACTATGTGATCACATTATACTCTGTGTGCTGTCGACTAGCATGTCACACAAGTTGAATCATGAACATTCATCAATAGTGAATTGTATTTTATTCAACGAATATTGTAGTCAATCTGAACATTAGATTATGGAATGATTTTCTCAGTCATAGTGATGTTATTTCATTACTCCAACATACGACGAACTGAAAAGTGTTTGTGATTACTCACTATACATATCAATGTGAAAGGAAACACTTACCTAACATGAAAATCTTCAGTATTTTTGATACTGTACAACTATCTACTGCTTATGGTATATCAAAATTTGAAGACCTGACTTGTCTACACGTCCAATTTATCGGATGAACAAGATGAAATATAGATTTTGGAAAGTAATCGATTGTTTCCAAGTTAATTACAATTTCAAGAAATGTTTCCACGATTTTATTAACTCAGGAAAGTTCAATATCATGGACACTTCCAAGTGAATGCACAATCAACTAACTGACATATATTATCTCATCTATCGTTTTGTAACATAATGTACGCTTAAGTGAATTTTATAAACGTGAAGGCGTGAAGGACATCCATCCTTCATAATTTTTAATAATCAACAGAGAATCCACGTATAGATTAGTGTGATTTGATACTAGTAGCCAAATTTCTGTTAGTTATATACTGAAATTGCACATGAAAGTTTCAATATTTAGAAACAAAATTGATGTATTCAACTGTGAAAATAATCATTTCTGATACAATAAAGTTTAACATACCACCGAGAGCTTCATACTCTACTAACGTTCCACCTTTGATCCATATATTAGGAACTTTTATTTCAGTTACTTCCTTACCTTGTGAAATAAATTTTACAGAAGAAAATAACTGAGATTTTGTTTAACGAGCGACTGTTAAAAAATGGGAACAAGTTCTCGGAATATCCATGATGAAGATTTTCACACACCATAGTTATATTACTCAGTATACCAGGTTAGGCGTAAGTCAGCAGACATGAATCGTGAAATTCATTGTTTACAGAAATCAGAATATAAAACAGAAACAACACCAATACAATTTCATCAAAACAACGACAATCGTTTATGTGACACTATCAAGGCTGTCGGTTGTTCAAATGAAGACACAGAAACTCCATTTCAATTCAGAAGAATTCAGTAGTTCACTGTTCAAAAGACTTGATCAAAACACGCGGTTTTGTCAGCACTAGATTAAACCTTGATTTAGTATCAAATGTGATATTAAACTTCGCTTCAAGATGTGAAAACACATCATCCACGTTGAATTTTCAATAAACAGTAGTGTTTGGACAATGAGTTTACCAGAAGCATTCAGATTTTATTTCACACGTTTTTCATCAACACTCTAATGACACTTCAACCAATCTGTTCTCACACGAAACTACTGGATTATGTAGACTGTAAGAAAGATATATCAGATCACTAGGACAGAATACAGCAAAGTTCTGTATTGACGTGGTGATCAAAGGGTACATAAAGAAGTTAATATTAGACTAACACATGACTGCTTGTGTAGGTCGGTGTTAATCAAAATGTAAATAACATTTGCTACCTTCTTCTCCGCAATGAAACCATCCATAAATTCCAGATGCCTTTTCGGTTTTGCCAGCTACCCTACGAATCTGAAAAAAAGTAACGGAATTCTGAGTAAAGATTTGTCAACATACAACCACCTTTATCAAAGCCAACCAATCACTGGAGGACTGTGTCGTCATTCACATCACTTTACACAAAGACAACTAGTTACATAGTAAGCATACTGATCTCCTCACTTTCCTCACGAGTGTGCCTCATCTAGTCTACGAGGATAATCTGACTCACTTCAGTTGTCAACTTCACTGAAATCCAATGGACGATGTATCTATCGTGCAATGATACGCTACACTGTGAGATGAATATATACGTCACTTGACGGAAATGTGATAGTGAATAACTGCAATGCCGCTGCACGTGTATTTGTTGTCATGTCGAGGAACTTTGTTGATGTACTCACTTCCATCCATCACCGTACATACAATTCCTGATTACCTCGAAGCAATCAAAGTGGATTCAGTTCAACACAAATGAAATCTTTCATCTCACCTGCTCTTTCTAGTTACCACACATCTGTTGTATTTCAAATTGGTGAAGTACTAAATGCTGACATTCGAACAAGTACACACTGATAGACGATCAAGATTTTAGCAATTTATCTCGCAGATTATTTGACAATGAAATTTTCAATTAGCTGAACGTCAGAAGACGTAGTAAAGCTTGACTGGAAATGTCTGTGTTGGAAAGTACTATAAAATACACTGTTTATCCTTAATCGGCTCAAATATGTCAGAATTTCTATCGATAACATTTGACTTCCTATAATTCATTGTTTGAAAAAAGTGCTAGAATGAAGTGTGTCATTACGGAGTTATTAATAGAGTCGTATAGTCTGTGTGCACGTTAAAAATTGTTGATATCTTTCTTTCGTATTCAATGTATATTGATGCATCCAACAGTGTTGACTTGAGCAAAGTAAGATAACAATCTGAAATACATCAAACTACACTACATTACTATTCAATTGTGCAACTTACGTCCTTATAATAGATTGATATCTTCCCATTCGGATGTATCAGAGTAGTTATAGTGAATGCAGGAACTACAAGCAGAAGACTAGCGTTATTTAGAATTTAAGGTATTAGGGATTAGCATGTCATTGTTAGATGCGAAAGTGTATGCGCCTACGTGCAAAGTGATCAGTTTTATGCAGGTATATTCTCCGTTATCACAAATGTTTTCTTTGGTAGAATTCGTAATAAATATAATCTAGGGAACGTCGTGTAAATGAAGCAAGTATGCATCCTACAATATAAATATCAGATAACTAGGCTCCGAGGCTGTATTACAACCCCGTTTTCATATCGAATTAATAAATCATCAAGCTTCCAATTAAATCTGATAGTTGAGGAGTTATTGACATTTGCTCAACACTCTCTATAATTACACCTGAAAAAATCGACCCTTAGTACACATGACATTAGCTATGGTTTGTTCGTTTACAAATAGAACATGGTAAGTTAGTCGGTTATGCAAGTTATTGGTTTCTCAGTGTTCGATCACGATGGAAAATGAATAGCTTCGGATTTTTCGTCCTGGTCATTTCTTAATTTGAATGAGTACTTTTTAGGAATGACCGTGTGGTGAGTAACACAAATTTACTTATTTCAGAATACAGACTTCTGATCAAGCAGCATTGAAGCCTGTTGACGAAGATGTGTCTCTACATTCGTTTATGCACAAGTAAAGTGTGTTTATGACTTAATTTATTCATACCGATCTTTTTATTGCACGTCAAATCTAGTATGCTACTGATTATGTCAACTGTCCTTCAGGTCTCAATCAATGTGTTCAAACAATCGATGGTTTCCCCCTTCCTAATTTTTTGTGATGGTTACACTTTATTACTTTTGTCAGATTTTGAAAAGAATTCAGTGATGTAAAATGAACAGAAAATGTGTAAGCAAGTACTGTGAATGATGGTGTAGGTGTTTAAATATTTCATGTGTAATCAAATAATCATTTTATGGATACATACTTTCATCACCATCACCATCTAGATAATAAGACGTTCTGACGGCTAATAATTCCCCTGAAATGATGAAAGTAAAAATATTTGCGTTTTTATATATGTATAATTAACATTCACAGAGAATCAGTTTGGACACAAGTTATCATCGTTCTTTCAAGATTTAAGTAAACTGGTTCAATTAAATGAGAGTTGCAATAAGACTCATAATTATTTCAACGATATGATGAATGTTTCAATCCAACCAACTGAGAAGAATATTCTACTTCCGAAGTGTTGATTTTAAAAGCTTCAGACAATCTAATAGACCGGTAATATCTAAACGACAATACACATACAAAATCAGTTGGATTCGTTCGATTTATTATTTCTACTCAATTAATTTGCGTCTATTTCGAAGTGAACCATCGTTTACACTTGACAGTGATGCGTACGTGTTGTGAACACGTTTTAGAGCATCAAATCACACAAGCAAATTAATCACTGTGTACTGGTCAGCTCCCAAAATGTAACCAGGTCAAATATTGAATCATTTATGCAAAATAAAAGTGAGAAATGAAAGGCAAAACAAATTATCACCGTATAATAGAGGTACTCACACTCATCCAAAACTTCAGATACCGTTTTATAACCGCTTCTCACATAATTTTTAATTCCTCCTAAGTACACTTGATCGTACATATATATTCTACCTGTTTATCGAATGAAAACGTGAATTTTAATTGACAATATGTAGAGAATATATTAAAGACTTTTAGATTAACTGGAGACAAAATGAGTTTCATGGACCGTAATTAAATTTCTGTAAGGCTCTAAACTGTTCACAAATTGTACGAAATAAGTTATCAGTAGACGTTTTGAATGTTAGAAAGGGCATAAAACTGATTAACTAAAGAAGTTAAAACAACATCGGTACACGAAATGAAATGTGAATAAACAAAACTCGGTAACAATTTTAATTCAATGAAAATCATTCTCTTACCAGTAGTTAATATTCTGAAGTTGGTGACTTGAGAACCGTAAAACGTAAACGGGAATGTTGCATTAATTTCCTAATTATGAGCAAACATATGGATTAGTACCTCGATTGCTAAATTTAGTCAACTTACTTTAGTATCATTCAATATTTCAAACTTGCCGCTAACAATTGGAGGAGACTGATCAGAGAGGATTGTCCGTGAATAATAATAGTGATGAGACTGAATATGTGTATTAGAAACTGACTGATTACTTACAAAATTATATGCATGACTTTTAAAAATTTCTTTGTCGTATATCTTTAATTCAGGGTTTGTGCAAATTTCATGGCAGTCGAAGAATTTATAAATTAATACGATGATCAAATAGAGCAGTATAAACTGGCCAGTTGCAAAGCTATGCCTGGAATGGTACAGATAAAAGTATACAGCCTTATTTCATTGAAACAAATTGAAGTTCATATAACACACTCGTTTGCTTTAAATGTACGGTCAACACTCACCTCATCTTCTTGTTCACAACAGTAATAATTGTTGTTAGACCTTGTCGTGTTTATATACATTTTTTAAGTGTTTGTTTGTTTCTTTCTTATTCGACGATCCAAAGTGACCATTAGAAACATCACGTTTCATAAAATCATATGATCATTGTTAACCACTCATGGTGGAAGACGAACTCATCGGAATGCAATATACTTCTAGCTGTTGTACTCTAAAGTCTGACAATTATTCACCATTGGTTGAAATTCTAAGGCCTCTATTGATCAAAATTATATTGGATATGATTAGCAATAATTTAAACTGAGAGGTTTATATGTAGGTCAAAATGTGTGCTCATATTTTCACAAACAAGCATTTTGTTACTTGTAAGGATTTGTGAACTGTTTACTAATGGTGCATTACTTCGATTTGATAGGTTAAAATATAAGTAACAAAACCTGTCTTGATTAGATAACTAAATTTTTATTTTTACACCTGAATTTATGTTTAATGAAATCAATATTGTCAGACGACTCTATCATCGTTGAATGTGGGATTGTAAGTTCGCAACAGTCACAAAAAGGCCCATTTGACCGGTATATTGTACCGTTGACTCTAAATAGATTTAGCGGTGAAAATAGACAAAACGTTTCTTATTAGTCAGGTAGAAGTGGACCTGTTTGTGTTCAAACTAAACGTAATGAGTCAATTACTGTTGAATGATTAACAGTCTACACTTTCGTAAATGAATAATAATTTCAGCGAAAGAAGCCCAAACAAATCATGATTTGCTTATAATTGCAAAATGTAATTCTTGGCAGTATGATGGTGAATTTTGCGCTGCAAAAAGATGTCCACAGTAACCGAAATATTGCTTCCATGAGTATCATATTCTGTAGTCGAATAAACGGTTGTTGGGTAACTTTGCGAAATCATGAACATCAGAATTATTTTCAATTATACATAAAATTGTTCCACTAATATCTGGCCTATTATCAAATTATTATTATTCGTGTAGTTACAGTATGTTTAAGTAATTATGTAGCTTATTCACTAGGGTTTGATAAAAGTTCACTTGGGTGTTGGTTCAGTTAATCGTATCCACGGAAGCAATAGTTATTGGAATAGTGAATTAATCTCATAAAATCACTGTCAATTTCTCATAAGACAATTCTATATTAATTTCAATGGAAACATAAAGTTCTTCATATGAAAATGTTAAATAAATATTTCAAGGTTAATAAAATTTATTCAGTATTATGCAGCTTATTTATTGTTCGTTTTTCATAAGGCTATTCTGAGTTGGTGTCACGCAACCTAATGCTTTTCATATGAACAGCATTCGCAAACTCTTCAAGGTTGAGAAACACTTTAGCCAATATCAACTGAAAGGTATTGAGTACGAAACGGAGGTCATGTTCAGTAAGAAAGAGTATAGCAATTATTACGCCTAGTTCAGAATTGAAATGTTCACTTTTATGCTAAGTAACAGATAATTGGTATCGATGAATGCAAAATTTATTACACACACGTGTCATTATTAAAAAAAACTGAACTGACTGTTTACTTTTCACACATGACTACAGTTAAACAGTATATTTCTCGAAATCAATCTTTTCCTTCACAGCTTGTATCAGATGTGTTTTACTTATCTCGAGAACTGACATGTGTTACCTTCTCATTTCAACACAATCTACGACATAATCTTCGTGACTTCCAGAGAATCTCTACCTTCACCATGAGGAGACATAATTCTTCCAAACGAAGATCTTGTATAACTCACAGGCGATATCGAGTCAGTCTACACAGGATGCACATACGCTAACAAGAGACTGATCAATTTCAGTGTTAAACATCAATGAGAAGATATAAGCAAGCAATATCAAAGGAATTAATAGTTTTTCACTAGTAATTTTAAGCATTTTGATAGGTATATTAGGTATTCCAACTGCTTGATTTACATGATATTTGAATTTTGCACAAAACTTTTCAAGTAACATTTCCGATTATGATTGTTTCGCCTCCCAAGTTTACTTTTACTCTCCATTTTGTTGTTGTTGATCTTTGTGGATATTACAGTAATTTCAATGGTTGAGATGATGAGTCAGTTGAAGCTAGATCACCATGGAAATCCTGGAAGCTCTGAACGGCCGTCTCGTCATAGAATATGGTTCCTCGGCAGTGTGCATTCACGATCCCGGACCGCGAGATTCGAACCCGAAACCTATCGGTCTCGAGCTCAAACGCTCAGCTAACTAGACCACTGAGCCGGCATGTAACGGTGTTAATGTCTAACTTCAACTTGTTATGACCTTGGGTATGTCTGGTTTTGCTATCACGCGACCTATCTACCAATCTGGATACGGCTTATACGAATATTCACACTAGGCCAACCAATGACGTTCAACCGGTGTGGGCAGTCTAGCGTCCTTATTGGTCCTATGTCCTTCGAGCCCTTCCACTTGAGTCCAGAACACAATACCAGCTTCGAATCAGAGCAGATCGTTTATTTCAAACATACTCGGTTTATATATCAAACAGACAGACCACAACACACCATAAATTAGGAAATAACATATGTACACAAATAAGCCAAAAAGTGGCTGTGAACGAGGGGGACAGTAATTAATAGACTGAACATAGTTTAAGAACCGTAAATCGTACAATAATAAATTATAGATCAAATTAAAGCTTATAATAAGAGGGATATAAATATACATAATCTAATGATTGAATAGTTTTACAATAAGAATATTTATAGAATATTAGTCCACTAATAGTCCTCGGGAGTTAGCTGTAATTTAATCTTCGCTCGGATATAACACAACTAACTCACGAAATCGCGACTCTGTACACCATTGTCACAAGTGAGCTGATATCTCACAACAAACTCGATTGAAATCTACTGCTCACTGCTTCTCGCTTAGTTTATTGTTGTTTATTTACGTTTCAAGGTTGTAATCGTTACGGTAAAACTGAAGTTATTTCAATTACAGAGTTTTCTTGACTTCCTGAATTCTCTCTCTTTTATCGTATTACAAACTATTCATAAATTGTGTTGTGGATTATTAGTCCGTTCTATCTAGTTCGAATGAATCTCATTTCATATTGAAATAATTTCTCGGTCATGCACAATTTGGAATTATCATATGTTATATAGAATTAGAATGTTTGATATTAATTAAATGTTCGGTTATAATTCAAAAATTGCCATCAGGATTCTATCTACATTAGGAACACCTGACATACATGACATCGATCACCATCTAGTGATCAATAAATTGTTAATACATCTCAGTCCTACAGGAGCTCAGTCTCAAACTGCATAGCTCAATGGTGATGTCTGTGACTGAGGAGCTGGATGATACGGGATCGAACCTGTCAGCGAGCATCATTTCCCTCAAGATTACAGGTACACCTTACTTGCGAGTGCCCGATGACACGAAACCTAGGTCCAGGGTTCTCTCTTGATTACTTCAAACCATCATCTTAATATCATCAGTATTTATTCATGACTGTTAGGTTTTAAGTTTAAGTGTATCAAATCTTTCACAATAAGTGTATTGTATCTCAGATGGAATTGTAAATATACACTACCGAGGGATTCAAAACTAGATTTCGCAACTCAGGATATTCGTTCTCGAAGCTAGTCACTAATTAGCACCTAATAACTTTCAACATCAACATCCTCACCATTGAATACTAACTCAATGATCTAAAGTTTATTTATTTTCAGGAGAAAAAGAAGAAAAATACTAGATTTGATTCTGTGATTCATTGTTATAGATGTATACTTCATGGAAGTCTCAAACTAAGACAAAACAACTATCCGATAATTCTTAATATCTAAACATGATCTAACTTAGATCAGTCCATGATTGTAATGTGAATCTCAATCATTCTCAATTATATTCTATAACTATAAGAATAAACCCTCATAAATAAAAGTATATTTTCTAAGGTCAAATTTATTTGATTTTAATGCCTCCCAATATTTGTAAAGTATGAAGAAGAAGAAGAGGCCAGAAACAAGGCGACATAAAACAATTTTGGTTATGTATGTATGTGTGTGGTTATCTGTTTAAAGAAAAAAAGAAAGAAAGTAAAACAGAAAGAAAAAAGCGAAGAAATTCAATCATTCTTTTTTCTCCTTATAATAAAATGAGGTCATAGAAGGTAAAAAAAAAAAGAAAAAAAGAATCATGAATTTGGAAATGGACAATCGGTTAGCATCAATAAAATCAAGTTTACTATTCATCATGATAAAAACACAATTTTCATTTCAATATTGAAAAAGTTTCCATTCAAATAGTTAACAATAAATAGAATAGGAGATATAAAAGGGAGTATAATTTATTTGTTATCAACCTTACTAATGGACATAATCTAATATAGTTGATAAATAAAGTATCAATGACTTAGAAACAAAAACAAAAAAAGACAAACTCCTTTTTTTATGTACTTTTCAATCAAATGGAAATAGAATACTCCTTTAATGAGTTAGTTTTCTATTTTTTTTATAATAAGTTCACCATGGACAATAGTGTACGGTGGCACAATTTCGTGGATCGGTTAAAGTAAGACATTAACAGCATTGGATGCTGACTCAATGGTGTGATGGTCGGTATTCCATATAATCCTTAAACTTCGTATACAGTTCGTTTTGATAATCGTCACTGGATAACGCCACAACGGTATATTAATCAGAAAGCGAATACCAAGTGTTGATTATGTATATTATGGGACAACACACAAATATCCGAAATTACAGGTGCGTCAAACAAGCATGAAAGAGTTGTGCCGAAATGGAAGTAGGCAGGCGAACAAGCGAGTGAGTGAGTCAGCGAATATGAGTACGAGTAAGCGAGTACAATTAAGCATGAGAGAGCCATGAACGTGAGTAACATGGACATATATAAACATAGTGAAATGAATGAATCATCGAATCATTTAAGCGGTTAGTATTAAGGCTAGCTGCGTAGGGAGTAAGCGATGCTCAAGCATACATGTCCATACATTCACAATATTAATAGAGATATAATGATATAGATAAGTTAACATTTTTTCAACCATAAGTGTTAAACGACGCTTCTAATGATTGTTGGATGTCCACATGGAAACATAGCATCGTACTCATATCTGATTAAACACCATGATCGTATACAATACACTACTTGCTTGCAACATGAAAATATTCTTCCGAGTAAATAGATTCACAATGTAGAATATGATAATATTGAAAACAATCTGTGAAGTCTATCAATTACTTACTTTAACCTTGCAACCATTTACTTTGAATTTATGAGTATCCTCATCATTACTGGTAATGCACATACTGGCTGTTTCGCACCAAATACACTTTGTATCTGATGTTTTTAAGCCATGACATTCTTCAAAGGAATTGTATTTCGGACAATCTTCAGTGGAAAAAATAGGGTGATTGCATAACAAGTTATCAAACAAAAGATAAGTGAATTAGGAAAAATATAACTATAACTCGATGATATAATGTTGATTTCGAAATTAGGCGACTGTTTCATTCACTAGGAATTTGTCATCACATCGAGCAATGCAAAATTCAGCACACTTTCATTGACATCCATATTTCACGACAACATTTTGGCTTTGAATGAAAATACATCCATAATGAGTAAAATTTTATTGAACGAATATTAAAGTCGATCTAAACATAACATTATGGAAGGATTCTCTTAGTTGTCGAGATGGTATATTAATACCCTACCACATGATAAACTGAAAATTCTTTGTGATTACTCAATGTACATATTCATGAGAAAGAGAACTCGTTCAAACCATGTCATACACTTTTCACGACAACACCTCGAAACTGAATGAAACAGAGTTGAATGTTCAACGATGAGTATTGACGTGCGAATTTGGTAGAATTTGATGACTGTTTGCATTCAGAAATGTATACACCATGCTGTCACCTGGTTCAGCAAAGCCCACTGCATTTCATTTCTAACACATCTAGGGTTTCATTCATTGATATCAGTCTGATGATGAAAACGTGTTCTTGTATACAGCTTTGACATGTGAAATCTGGTAAATGACATTGTAAACTCACCCACATCGACTATTTTGAAATCCGTGCAAGAAATTCAGTTGTCCCCAGACAATAAATTTACTTAGAATTATGTTAATTCGGTTGAAAAACAAAGGAGGAGTGACATTGTTTTTCAATTGGTCGCTGACGTTTTTCTGGAAGAGATTTCAATCAACCTTTCGTTATAGAATGTTTCAAACTATGTGATCACATTATACTCTGTGTGCTGTCGACTAGCATGTCACACTAGTTGGATCATGAACATTCATCAATAATGAATTGTATTTTATTCAACGAATATTGTAGTCAATCTGAACATTAGATTATGGAATGATTTTCTCAGTCATAGTGATGTTATTTCATTACTCCAACATACGACGAACTGAAGAGTGTTTGTGATTACTCACTATACATATCAATGTGAAAGGAAACACTTACCTAACATGAAAATCTTCAGTATTTTTGATACTGTACAACTATCTACTGCTTATGGTATATCAAAATTTGAAGACCTGACTTGTCTACACGTCCAATTTATCGGATGAACAAGATGAAATATAGATTTTGGAAAGTAATCGATTGTTTCCAAGTTAATTACAATTTCAAGAAATGTTTCCACGATTTTATTAACTCAGGAAAGTTCAATATCATGGACACTTCCAAGTGAATGCACAATCAACTAACTGACATATATTATCTCATCTGTCGTTTTGTAACATAATGAACGCTTAAGTGAATTTTATAAACGTGAAGGCGTGAAGGACCTCCCTCCTTCATCATTTTAAATAATCAACAGAGAATCCACGTATAGATTAGCGTGATTTGATACTAGTAGCCAAATTTCATTTAGTTATTTACTGAAATTGCACATGAAATTTTCAATATTTAGAAAGAAAATTGATGTATTCAACTGTGAAAATAATCATTTATGATACAATAAGGTTTAACATACCACCGACAGCTTCATACACCACTAACGTTCCACTTTTGATCCATTTTTCAAGAACATATGTTTCAGTTTCAATTTCCTTCACATCTTGTGAAATAAATTTTACAGAAGAAAATAACTGAGATTTTGTTTAACGAGCGACTGTTAAAAAATGGGAACAAGTTCTCGGAATATCCATGATGAAGATTTTCACACATCATAGTTATATTAGTCAGTATACCAAGTTAGGCGTAAGTCAGCAGACATGAATCGTGAAATTCATTGTTTACAGAAATCAGAATATAAAACAGAAACAACACCAATACAATTTCATCAAAACAACGACAATCGTTTATGTGACACTATCAAGGCTGTCGGTTGTTCAAATGAAGACACAGAAACTCCATTTCAATTCAGAAGAATTCAGTAGTTCACTGTTCAAAAGACTTGATCAAAACACGCGGTTTTGTCAGCACTAGATTAAACCTTGATTTAGTATCAAATGTGATATTAAACTTCGCTTCAAGATGTGAAAACACATCATCCACGTTGAATTTTCAATAAACAGTAGTGTTTGGACAATGAGTTTACCAGAAGCATTCAGATTTTATTTCACACGTTTTTCATCAACACTTTAATGACACTTCAACCAATCTGTTCTCACACGAAACTACTAAATAATGTGGACTGTAAGAAAGATATATTAGATCACTAGGACAGAATACAGCACAGTTCTGTATTGATGTGGTGATCAAAGGGTACATAAAGAAGTTAATATTAGACTAACACATGACTGCTTGTGTAGGTCGGTGTTAATCAAAATGTAAATAACATTTGCTACCTTCTTCTCCGCAATCAAACCATCCATAAATTCCAGATGTCTGTTCGATTTCGCCAGCTACCTCAGGAATCTGAAAAGAAGTAACGGAAGTCTGAGTTAAGATTTGTCAACATACAACCACATTTATTAAAGCCAACCAATCACTGGAGGACTGTGTCGTCATTCACATCACTTTACACAAAGACAACTAGTTACATAGTAAGCATACTGATCTCCTCACTTTCCTCACGAGTGTGCCTCATCTAGTCTACGAGGATAATCTGACTCACTTCAGTTGTCAACTTCACTGAAATCCAATGGACGATGTATCTATCGTGCAATGATACGCTACACTGTGAGATGAATATATACGTCACTTGACGGAAATGTGATAGTGAATAACTGCAATGCCGCTGCACGTGTATTTGTTGTCATGTCGAGGAACTTTGTTGATGTACTCACTTCCATCCATCACCGTACATACAATTCCTGATTACCTCGAAGCAATCAAAGTGGATTCAGTTCAACACAAATGAAATCTTTCATCTCACCTGCTCTTTCTAGTTACCACACATCTGTTGTATTTCAAATTGGTGAAGTACTAAATGCTGACATTCGAACAAGTACACACTGATAGACGATCAAGATTTTAGCAATTTATCTCGCAGATTATTTGACAATGAAATTTTCAATTAGCTGAACGTCAGAAGACGTAGTAAAGCTTGACTGGAAATGTCTGTGTTGGAAAGTACTATAAAATACACTGTTTATCCTTAATCGGCTCAAATATGTCAGAATTTCTATCGATAACATTTGACTTCCTATAATTCATTGTTTGAAAAAAGTGCTAGAATGAAGTGTGTCATTACGGAGTTATTAATAGAGTCGTATAGTCTGTGTGCACGTTAAAAATTGTTGATATCTTTCTATCGTATTCAATGTATATTGATGCATCCGACAGTGTTGACTTGAGCAAAGTAAGATAACAATCTGAAATACATCAAACTACACTACATTACTATTCAATTGTGCAACTTACGTCCTCATAATAGATTGATATCTTCCCATTCGGATGTATCAGAGTAGTTATAGTGAATGCAGGAACTACAAGCAGAAGACTAGCGTTATTTAGAATTTAAGGTATTAGGGATTAGCATGTCATTGTTAGATGCGAAAGTGTATGCGCCTACGTGCAAAGTGATCAGTTTTATGCAGGTATATTCTCCGTTATCTCAAATGTTTTCTTTGGTAGAATTCGTAATAAATATAATCTAGGGAACGTCGTGTAAATGAAGCAAGCATGCATCCTACAATATAAATATCAGATAACTAGGCTCCGAGGCTGTATTACAACCTCGTTTTCATATCGAAATAATAAATCATCAAGCTTCCAATTAAATCTGATAGTTGAGTAGTTATTGACATTTGCTCAACACTCTCTATAATAACACCTGAAAAAATCGACCCTTAGTACACATGACATTAGCTATGGTTTGTTCGTTTACAAATAGAACATGGTAAGTTAGTCGGTTATGCAAGTTATTGGTTTCTCAGTATTCGGTCACGATGGAAAATGAATAGCTTCGGATTTTTCGTCCTGGTCATTTCTTAATTTGAATGAGTACTTTTTAGGAATGATCGTGTGGTGAGTAACACAAATTTACTTATTTCAGAATACAGACTTCTGATCAAGCAGCATTGAAGCCTGTTGACGAAGATGTGACTCTACATTCGTTTATCCACTAATAAAGTGTGTTTATGATTTAATTTATTCATACGGATCTTTTTATTGCACGTCAAATCTAGTATGCTACTGATTATGTCAACTGTCCTTCAGGTCTCAATCAATGTGTTCAGACAATCGATGGTTTCCCCCTTCCTAATTTTTTGTGATGGTTACACTTTATTACTTTTGTCAGATTTTGAAAAGAATTCAGTGATGTAAAATGAACAGAAAATGTGTAAGCAAGTACTGTGAATGATGGTGTAGGTGTTTAAATATTTCATGTGTAATCAAATAATCATTTTATGGATACATACTTTCATCACCATCACCATCTAGATAATAAGACGTTCTGACGGCTAATAATTCCCCTGAAATGATGAAAGTAAAAATATTTGCGTTTTTATATATGTATAATTAACATCCACAGAGAATCATTCTGGACACAAGTTATCATCCTTCTTTCAAGATTTAAGTAAACTGGTTCAATTAAATGAGAGTTGCAATAAGACTCATAATTATTTCAACGATATGATGAATGTTTCAATCCAATCAACTGAGAAGAATATTCTACTTCCGAAGTGTTGATTTTAAAAGCTTCAGACAATCTAATAGACCGGTAATATCTAAACGACAATACACATACAAAATCATTTTCTGAAATTGAGTTATTCCAACCGAGCAGTGTTCCCTCAAATGAACTAATTATTACTCAGAAATTCCACTTTAATGTCACTTTATGCAGTAACTGAACAAAATGAGTGAACTTCATTTCGATGTTCTAGTTGTTTCGGGTCGAATTAATCATGCTATACCACTGCACTGTTTATAGTAATTTTTTATCATCTGTCATTATTATTACTAATGATATGGTCAATACACAGTGGTTCACAGATAGTGACTAAGAGACATTAATTCTTTATGAAGTAAGTTAAAGAAAAACAATTTGGATATCATTAAATATAATTTGGTAATCCATGTGATTTAATAATGCAAAATGATTTTTCACACAACATCGTTTATTGTTGTAGATGTGTTCAGTTGGATTCGTTCGATTTATTATTTCTACTCAATTAATTTGCGTCTATTTCGAAGTGAACCATCGTTTTCACTTGACAGTGATGCGTACGTGTTGTGAACACGTTTTAGAGCATCAAATCACACAAGCAAATTAATCAATGTGTACTGGTCAGCTTCCAAAATGTAGCCAGGTCAAATATTGAATCATTTATGCAAAATAAAAGTGAGAAATGAAAGGCAAAACAAATTATCACCGTATAACAGAGGTACTCACACTCATTCAAAACTTCAGATACCGTATTATAACCGCTTCTCACATAATCTTTAATTTCTCCTAAGTACTCTTGATCGTACACTTCAATTCTACCTGTGTTCATCGAATGAAAAACATGAAATTCAAATAACAGACGTTTTGAATGTTAGAAAGGGCATAAAACTGATTAACTAAAGAAGTTAAAGCAACATCGGTACACGAAATGAAATGTGAATAAACAAAACTCGGTAACAATTTTAATTCAATGAAAATCATTCTCTTACCAGTAGTGAATATTCTGAAGTTGGTGACTTGAGAACCGTAAAACGTAAACGGGAATGGTGCATCAATATCCTGATTATAAGCAAACATATGGATTAGTACCTCGATTGCTAAATGTAGTCAACTTACATTAATATCATCCAATATTTCAAACTTGCCGCTAACAATTGGAGGAGGCTGATTAGAGAGAATTGTCTCGGAATAATCATAGTGATGAGACTGAATATGTGTATTAGAACCTGACTGATTACTTACATAAGTATATGCATCACTTCTAAAAATTAATTTTTCGTATATCCATAATTCAGGATTTGTGCAAATTTCATGGCAGTCGAAGAATTTATAAATTAATACGATGATCAAATAGAGCAGTATAAACTGGCCAGTTGCAAAGCTATGCCTGGAATGGTACAGATAAAAGTATACAGCCTTATTTCATTGAAACAAATTGAAGTTCATATAACACACTCGTTTGCTTTAAATGTACGGTCAACACTCACCTCATCTTCTTGTTCACAACAGTAATAATTGTTGTTAGACCTTGTCGTGTTTATATACATTTTTTAAGTGTTTGTTTGTTTCTTTCTTATTCGACGATCCAAAGTGACCATTAGAAACATCACGTTTCATAAAATCATATGATCATTGTTAACCACTCATGGTGGAAGACGAACTCATCGGAATGCAATATACTTCTAGCTGTTGTACTCTAAAGTCTGACAATTATTCACCATTGGTTGAAATTCTAAGGCCTCTATTGATCAAAATTATATTGGATATGATTAGCAATAGTTTAAACTGAGAGGTTTATATGTAGGTCAAAATGTGTACTCATATTTTCCCAAACAAGCATTTTGTTACTTGTAAGGATTTGTGAACTGTTTACTAATGGTGCATTACTTTGATTTGATAGGTTAAAATATAAGTAACAAAACCTGTCTTCATTAGATAACTAAATTTTTATTTTTACATCTGAATTTATGTTTAATGAAATCAATATTGTCAGACGACTCTATCATCGTTGAATGTGGGATTGCAAGTTCGCAACAGTCACAAAAATACCCATTTGACCGGCATATTGTACCATTGTCTCTAAATAGATTTAGCGATGGAAATAGACAAAACGTTTCTTATTAGTCAGGTAGAAGTGGACCTGTTTGCGTTCAAACTAAACGTAATGAGTCAATTACTGTTGAATGATTAACAGTCTACACTTTCGTAAATGAATAATAATTTCAGCGAAAGAAGCCCAAACAAATCATGATTTGCTTATAATTGCAAAATGTAAATCTTGGCAATATGATGGTGAATTTCGCGCTGCAAAGAGATGTCCACAGTAACCGAAATATTGCTTCCACGAGTATCATATTCTGTAGTCGAATAAACGGTTGTTGGGTAACTTTGCGAAATCATGAACATCAGAATTATTTTCAATTATACATAAAATTGTTCCACTAATATCTGGCCTATTATCAAATTATTATTATTCGTGTAGTTACAGTATGTTTAAGTAATTATGTAGCTTATTCACTAGGGTTTGATAAAAGTTCACTTGGGTGTTGGTTCAGTTAATCGTATCCACGGAAGCAATAGTTATTGGAATAGTGAATTAATCTCATAAAATCACTGTCAATTTCTCATAAGACAATTTAATGTTGAATAGATACCAGATTACATAACTAGTTGCTATGATATCCAAATTATTCAAATTAGAACTTATCTCAAAATTAAAATAATAATAATAATAATATTTCACAGATTGAAATCATGAGTCAGTTGAAGCTAGACCACCATTGAAAACCTGGAAGCACTG